AGGGCTCGAGAAGCTGCTCCGAGCCGCCTGCATCGTGTCATGACTTCGGGAAGCAGACACGTGTGCCCTGCTGTTGTCACTGAGTTGCGTCATGCCCAGCGCAGGGTCTGAAGCGGGAGGCGGCTCGGCGCTCACCTTTCAGAAACCCCAAGTAGGTATGCAAGGGCAACCCCCGGGCACAGCGGCGAGGCCAGGCCTTCCACCTCCTCGTGGTGACAGAACCACCCCGGGAGCACTGCCCTCGGCCCCCCGGGGTTCACTGACGCCCCCCCAAGCCAGGACACCGCTTCCCTAATGGCTTTCCTATGGGGCCCAAACAAAGAGGGACCCACGCCCACGTGACATAGGCGGCTTGGAACACACCCAGTTTTCCAAGTCTAGTAACTGTGCCCAAAGCACGAGGCGCAGCAAAAACAGACCCCTCCCTGGCCGCTGCTAAAATGCGAGGGCCACCAGCTCCAAAAGACTTCTGCATGTGAAACATCACCAACCGCAGCACCCAGATGGCCGTCCACCCTAAAGACTAGGGACAGGGAGGCGTGAGGCCCAGACAGACGGCGAGGAAGCCACCTGCCTCACGCCACGCAGAGCTGTCCAGTGCTGGCCAGGAATGACTCCCAGAAGGTTCTTTCCCTGTTTCTTCCCAAATGCCTGTCACCCAAGCGCATCAGGGAAACAGTTTGGTCCCGATCTCTGGCGTGAAGGGAGACCCACGCCCAGGCCCACCCTCTCCGCAGGCAGCTGTCCCCCTGGGGGCAGGTCGTGTGCCCCATGTCTCTGGCCCACCTGGAAGACCCGGCAGCTTCTCACTCACAGGACCAGAGTCAGCCACCGCCACAGGCTCCGGGGTCACTGAGAATGTGGCCGCTCTGGACATGGTCTGATGGGAACGAAGCTACCGTGAGGTGTGCGAAGCAGTGCACGCGCCAGGCAGCGGGGACGGCGGACGCGAAACTAGCGCCACTTGGCGGCGGCGTGCACCGCTCCCCCAGCCACCACTCACGGTGCTTCAGAAAGCGGTCGGCCCCACTCCGGCCGGCAAGTCTGGGGCTCCGAGGAACCAGGTCAGATCTGTCCCAGATCAGACAGCCAGAGTGCCCTCAAGCAACAGCATCTAAACTGCTAAGAAAGTCCCTCGTGCCGAAGCACCTGCTGCCAGCGGGCACCCCCAGAATCTCCAGATGCTGTACCCTCAGTGCCCTGCCCCTCACGCTCTGCCGCCCAGCGGGCCAGCTCTCCGGAGTCCGCCGGGCCCAGGCAGCACCGCCAGCTGCTGCCCTCCCCCACCGACAAACCACTCAATTCACGGTGGCTGGGAACCAACCTCCCACACACCTGTCTGCACAAGCACATTAACCTCAGGAGCGTTCGCTTTACATGAGTCGCATGGAATGTCCCCTGGGCCCGGGGACGCAGGCGCGGGGGAAGGTGGTGTTCCGCCCTGGGGCTGACAGCCTGCGCCCTGGCCAAGCCCTGGAGCCGCAGGCAGCGCACGCTCGACGCAGGATGGACGCTGGGAAAACGCTAACAGGCCACGCCGAAAGGTAACCTTCAGACGTGAGCGTCGTAACGGATGCCCCCCTGGAAAAGCTCTTAAAACCAGTTTTGCACAGGTTATTGTTGTGTCGAATCCTTTTTTGTGCTTTCAACCACGATCAGAATTTTACTGTGCTTTTGCACAGGTTATTGTTGTGTCGAATCTTTTGTGCTTTCAACCACGATCAGAATTTTACTGTGACGTTGCAACTGTTCTGAGCTACGTAAAACCAACCGGTGCCTCTCAGGGCTCCGTGACAGCTGCCAGCCTCTGTGTTCCCGGCACCGCGACAGGTCAAACTTAGGCTCCAGCCTTCAAACCAGTAAATAGGTTACAACAACAGGCTCGTTTCCGTACAAGACCGTCCTGACAAAACCATCAACGCTCAGTTTACCAAAAGCAAATTCAGCATGAGCTCACCGTGGGCTGTGAGGCTGAAGCATGGAAGGCCGAGGACTGGCCCTCAAGGAATGGTGACGCCTGTCTCTGTCCCCTCCCATCCCGGACTCTGACCTACAAGGAGAAAAGGCACTGGGAGGCGCACACCTCCCTCACACACACTCCAACTGTCAACAGTCTATTCCACTTCACACCTCGTGTGGCTCTGGGAACCCACAGGCCCCTAAGCCCTTCCCAAGCTTGTGTACCACTGGCTTGTAACAAGAGTGAGCTACCAGCCCAGCAGTAGCTATTTTTGTAAGTTACTTCTACCTCCACTTCATAAGTTTTTATTATGAAAAACTTCAATAAAGAAGAAACATCTAGTTGGAGACTTTAATGTTTTCTGACCGATTACACGATATAGCTAGAATTTCAGGTCTGTCGCTTGGATTTATAAAATTAAATTGTACTATTTAAAAGAGAATTCTCAGTTTAGGGACACCAGGAGAAGATTTAACTAAACTTTTTTTGCTTCTACTGTTATTAAAATGAATATAACTAATCAGCGTTCCCAAGCAGTAGAGGAACAGGCGTGAACAGATAAACATAAATCTTTTATTTTCTAGAAAGCATTTGGCCCCTTTAAAGCACAGCTCTCAGCATTTGTCACCCAAACGTCAACACGAGCTGTTCTCTGCTCTCACACAGGACTAATGCAAAGACTCACGAGAACTCAAACGAGTCAGCAGTTTTAGAGTTTCATCAAGGTGCTGTCTACTTGTCACATGAAGCCATCCCCAACACTGACGCTGGAACAGAAGATTTTCCAAAGGGAGTCCAGGCTCACTCACGACAAAGATGGGTCACCTGTTCCCAACCACGGCTTCTTCTGCCAGAAGAAATAAGGCAGGGGCTACACCCACACTAAGACTCATACCAAGAGGACCCAGTGAACCCCAAACCACCCCACCTGCAGGCATCGCCTGGGCATGGGCACCTCCTCACCCACCATGCCTGCAACCCGGGCCAAGCACCCGCCTCACAAACTTCACTACTTACAAGCTCACGCCAGCTTTAAATAACAAAAATGCGGCGAGGGGGCTGTCCCTGCGAGGACGAAGGCAAACGCTGAGCCGACAGGACCACTGAAAGGACGTTTTAACGGACAAGGAAAAAGCATCCCGACATCTCACACAAAGCGCTATAACCGCAAATGCTTTCTTCAACCGTACTGAAAATCCACCACGCTCTGCACTTGGGGGCAAAAACACATGTGACGGACAGAGTGGGGGACCCACAGGGCAACCCCCGCACCCCGGACGGGACGGGGACCCACAAGGCACCCCATACACTCCAGATAGGACAGGGCAGCCACAGGGCACCACCCCCCAGCACTCCAGAACACAGAGTGGGGGACCCACAGGGCAGCCCCCGCACCCCGGACGGGACGGGGCACCCACAAGGCACCCCATACACTCCAGATAGGACGGGGCAGCCACAGGGCACCACCCCCCAGCACTCCAGACAGGACGGGGCACACACAGGTCACCCCACACACTCCGGACGAAACAGGGCATGCACGGGGAACCCCTCGCACCCAAGACAGGACAGGCTACCCACAGAACACCCCGGGGCATGCACGGGGAACACCCAAGACAGGACAGGCTACCCACAGAACACCCCACACACCCCGGACGGGACGGGGCACACACAGGGCACCCCCCACACTCCAGATAGGACGGGGCACCCACGGGGCACCCCACGCACCCTGGACAAACACAGCGCATGTGAAGGGCATCTCAGCTGCTCTGTGGAACACTTCACACCACCTGTCTCGAGGAGGGAGCCCCATTTGCACCCTGAAAACACTACTCTTGGCTGCGCCCTGTCCCATGTCCCCAGCCGGCCACATAAACCTGACGCCCGCCAAGCTCCAGCACCAGCACCCCCACTCACCGACAGGGAGACCTCGCCTTCGGAACGCGTGGAAATTCTTTTCCGGGGTGACCCATGGCCAGCACAAAGGGACGCAGGAGGTGCTGTCCCCACCACTTACACCACCGCAGCAGCTGCTACAGCAGCACGTGTTACTACGCGACGGGGAAGGGCTCCGGCGGCTCCCCGCCCCGTCCACGCAGGGGGCCGAGGGGACAAGGACGCAGGGTGCCGCGAGGGCTGGAGTTCCTCTCTGCCTAGGCATCCGCACGCAGCAGCGTGAGGCGTCACGCCGCAGGGATCCCGCACTGTCACACCCCGGGAGCCCGAAGGAGCAGCCAGAAGACAGAGTGGAGAGCGCGGAGGCTGCACGCGCGCCGGGCTCCGCGTGGCCCTCCAGCAGACCCACTGGCGGCAGCGCACGCCCACCTCCGGTTGCCGCGAAAGAACCGAGCATCCTTTCAACGGTCACACTGTCCCGAACGACACTGTGGCCCACGGAAGAGCCGACACCCTGCCGTGGTCCAGGAAGGCCGTGTGCCCAGGAGTCCTCCGAGGCACACCCGGGACCTCTGCTCTCCCCAGTTGGCAGGGGAGCAGCACGTGGGATCTGCCTCTAGGAGGGGACTGCGCTCTGCCTAACCCAGCATCAGGGGACAGCACCCCAGTCCTGGATGTTAAAGGCACAGGGAAGCACAGCGAGGTCACAGGCCGTGTGCCTGACCCCAGACACAAGAGGAGAAAGTGCCGAGTGCGGGAAGATCGGGACCCAAGCATCTCCACATCCCGGATGACCCAGGGTGGTGCCCCGGGGACCGCCTGCCGTTGCTGCTCTCCACGGAGAGAGACTCAGAGCAGGGACACACGCAGCCAGGCAGAAACCGAGAACACCGGCAGGAAAACTTTGCGAAGCGGAGATGGGAGCTGAAGCCAGTCTCTGCACAAGGTTAACAGACCTCCGCGGCCACATCATGCTGGGCGTGCAAGATCACACACACGTTCGTACCCACGACTCCCCCGCAGCTGGGCAGAGAGACTCCTCGGCTTGCTACAGGCCGGTGCAACACCCGTGACCTTAGGTCCTCCAGTCCTACAACTTCCTGGACGCCCGGCCAGGGCAGCAAAGACCCGCGCAGCGGTCACTCACCTGGGGGCAGCTGGAAGTTCTGGATGTTGGTCGGGTTCTGGGGCGGCTGTGGCAGGCGAGGGGCCAGGACCGTGGGCGTCAGCGTGGCCCGAATCCCGCTGGTGGTGGCCGAGGGCGTCCTGGGCAGGCTCTGGGTGACCGTACTGGCTGAGCCCTTAGGCAGCCCGGTGGGGGTGCCGGGGGCCGGCGGCGGGAGGCCGGCGGCGGTGGGCAGCGCCCCTTGCATAGTTGGCCCGAGGATCATGCCGGCCCCCGCACCGGCCGGGCAGCTGGCCGCCA